ACCCACCAGCCCGCCGAGGGCTACTTCCCGGACCGGGAGCCCCGGCGCCGGGCGGCTCCCGGGCTCGCGGCTCCCTCCCGAGCGCATTCAACTTCAAGTTGCCCCTGCGGCTCGGCTCCAACTCACCTTTTCGAAGCATGTTGGCCGGGGGGCCGCCGTTCCGAGGTCGGCCTAGGCGCACTCCCTCCCTGGGTCCAGATTCAAATCCCTAGGCGCCAGCTGCAGCTAATCCGAGCGCGTCGAGGCGGGGGCAAGCCGAGGATCCGCTGGTGCCCGGTGGCCCGGCCCCGCAGGGGCATGGTGAGCTCCAGCTCCGCGCCCAGGGCACCCGCGCCCGCAAGCAACCGTGGCGCTGCCCGGCAGCCCCGCGCGCTCGCTCAACCCCGGGGCGAGCTGCTGGCTCCGCGGAGCCGGCGGCCTGCTTCTGCCGCCCGGAGCACTTTGCAGACGGTTTTGAGGGGGCCGCCGCCCCCTGACCGGCCGGCCGCAGCCCCCTCCTCTCCGCCCCCTCGGACCACCGCCGCCGCGGCTGCTGCAAAAGGGCGCTCGCACGCACCGCCGAGCTCCGGGGAAAGCGCCCGGCGCGCGTTTGCAGGACCGAGCGATCGGCGGAGCGGGGCGCCTCCCTTCCTCCCCCCGGCTTCCCCCTCCTCTCCTCCTCCCTCCCTCCCTTGCTTGCTAGCTCCCTCCCTTTCGCTCCGCTCCCCGCCCCCGCTCACGGAGCGCCTCCCATACAAAATTTATGAAAGTGCTCTCAGCTCGCAGTGCTGAGCGCCGTCCTATTCCCAGGGCAGCGGAGCTCACCCGCGCGGCGCCGCCTCCCAAGGTGTTTTCACTGCGCCCCGCCCCCGGGGAAGGTCCTCGGCCCCCGTCTGTCCAGGCACCTGCCCCAGTCCCCGAAACCTTTGCTGGCCTCGCGGGCCTCCTGGAGCCCGAACCCGCAGCCCAGCCCCCGCCCGCCCGCCCTTCGCGGCTGGAGGTCATCGGGAGAGGCGGCTGGGACGCGAGGACGGCCGCCCGGATTCCGGATCGCGAGTCCCCGCCCGGTCGCACCTCCTCCCGGGCCAGCGCCCCTTCTCCCAGTCTCGACGGCTCCTCCCCGCACAGAACCGCGCCAGCAAACCGGACCGCCCCGCACCCCGAGACCCAGGACACTGTTTTTTTGTAGGGAGAGGAGGGGAGCAAGAATTCCAGAGGGGCCCGCTGCAAATTCCAGGGAGAAGGAAGGACCCGCGCGGGTTCGGGTGGTCTATCTCCGCGTGGGTGGGTGGGTGGGGGTCTCTGATCTCCTTTGGTCCACACAGACCCCGCCAGGGGGTTCGCGGAAAATGGAGGAGGGGCTGCTTCGAAAGAGGGTCCCGCAGGGGCCTGTTGGGCTGAGGAAAGAGAAGGCTGGGGCCAGGCGAGCTCCTGGGTGGAGGCGGCACCCCCTACTGGCCTGGGATCAGAGGGATTCGGAGGGAAGAAACAGAGGGGCTGGCTGGACCAAGTCACTCACTCCACACACATTCACCGAAGGCTCAGCATGTACGTGTGGGACACAGACAGAAGAGACTTGGCTTTGCCCTGTCCTCAACGAGTTTACATTTTAATAGGGGCCAAATGGGGAAAGTCCAGAGAAGATGGGAAGATTGTGTTTGGAAGAAAAGCCCAGTGCTGTTCTGGAGCTGACACAGGGGTGGGGGTGCCGGTCAAGGAAAGCTGCTCAGAACAGGTGACATCCAAGCAGAAATCCAGCCGAAGCCCTCCTTGGAGGAAAAGGCGACATGATAGGAAGGTCAAAAAGAAGGTTAGGGCCGGGCGCGGTGACTCACGCCTGTAATCGTAGCACTTTGGGAGGCGGAGCAAGGTGGATCACAAGGTCAGGAGTTTGAGACCAGCTTGGCCAGCATGGTGAAACCTGGTCTCTACTAAAAATGCAAAAATTAGCTGGGCATGGTGGCGCGCCCCTGGAGTCCCAGCTACTTGGGAGGCTAAGGCAGGAGAATCACTTAAACCTGGGAGGTGGAGGTTGCAATGAGCCAAGATTGTGCCATTGTACTCCAGCCTGGGTGACAGAGCAAGACTCTGTCTCAAAACAAAACAAAACAAACAAAAAACGCCAGTCTGACATAAATGCATCTGGTGGCACTGAAGCTTCAGATTTGAACTAAGGCTCTGGGCTTAGACTTCCAGAAGCTTCAGGTGTCACGGGAGAAGAAAAACCCACAAACCATCTTAGAATGTGACAGAAGTCATGAAGACTGAGAAAAGACTCTGCTAGCTCTGCCAGGGGCTACAGGATAATCAGGAAACAGTCACAGAAGAGGTGACCTTGGAGTTAGGTCTTGAGGGCTGAGTTCAGCACACTGAGAAGGGGGAAGGGCATTCCAGCAGATGCCTAAAGGTGAGAAGTAACCCTGTTCTGAAGATGAATAAGATTGATCCTTCCTGAGGACCATCGGCTCACATCTATAATCTCAGCACTTTGGGAGGCCAAGGTGGGAGGACTGATTGAGGACAGGAGTTCAAGACCAGCCTGAGCTACATAGTGAGACTCCATGTCTATTTAAAAAAAAAAAAAAAAGTTTAAAGATAAAAAAAGACTGATGGCTGCTACTCTGGGCACACTGCCCATGGCCACAAGGAGCAGTTAAAAAAAAAAAAAAAAGATTGGTCCCTCTTGGGGTAGGAACAGAAGATGAGGCATTCCTTCTCTTAGCCACTAGCTGCAAGGCAGTGCTGCCCCCACCCCCTGCCTGAGCCCTGAAACTGAGACCTGAGGTCTTGTCAGTACACTGAGGCCCAGAGACTTGCTCAATGTCACATAACAGATATGTGATAAAGTATGGGCCTGACTCAGGGCCCGAATGTGGGATAATCCTCCTTCCACCTCCCCAAGCCACCTCCCCATGACCCCCTAGCCCACAAACTCTAGCATCTTAGGAAAAGTTGGCTGGAGCTGGGCGTGAGTGTGAGAAGCAGAGTTATTTCAGGCCTCAGGAGGGCTGGGTACTGCCTTGGAGTCCAGCCAGGGGGTGGGGGCGACTAAAGGCGGGTGCTGTGGTGTAATGTGGGGGTGCACTGTGCCCGCCTTCTTGTCAGGCAGTAATTACTCAGACTGCTGAGTAACTCAGGCAGGGAGACCCCCACAGACAGATGGAGGTGTCCTCGGCCCAAGCGGAATGGCAGCCCCCAGTGTCCTGCTCTGCGGGGTCCTGGGGCGCATTCTCACATCTGTTCTTCATGTCAGTTCTCCTAGTCATCATCTGGTTTCCTAACGGGAGCCAGGGCAGCTCACGAGGCACAGTGGATCAGGGCAATTTACAAGAGGATGGGAACTTTGCCATCAACAGGCCCCACCTCCGATGAGGGAAGGTCCTGAGGGATGTGGCGCCTGCTAGAGAGAAGCCGTCGCTCAGCTGGAGCCAGTCTTTTCCCCTGGAAACTCAGTGTTCCAGGCAGAGCTAAGGCTGTCCACAGGCTGGGCATTGGTGTCCTGAGAGAGGAGGGGCTGAGCTCCCGGAATTCAGATCTTGCACCCTAGGAATCCAGAGAAGCTGGGGAGAGATGGGAAGGTCCCATCTGGACACTTACTGAGTTGAGGGGAGTGTTCCTGGGACCCACACTGGCCACATTTCTGTCTAAAGTTAACTGTCCTAAAAGCGGGTGGCCTGAAGGGCAGGGCACTGCCCTCGGCTGCTCACTCCCAGCCTTCCCAGCCATTCCTGCTCCCTGGGCAGCCTCCCAGGCAGGGCCTGTCTCTGGCTGCTTGTTTTCACTTCTCCCTGCACCTTAATTAGGGGTTTCTAAGCAGGGAGGGCCTCTGGGGGAGCCCGAGGCCACAGAGCTGACTTAAAGGGCCAGCTGTGCTCACAGCACTGGGGCAGTGAGAGGAGGAGGGTGCCAGGGGGCTGGGTGGATATTCAGCCCTGGGGCACCATTGTTCCAGTGGCCTGACCTCGCTCAGGGCCAGTCCTGCAGGTACTTGCTCTTCCAAAGGTCAAAGCTGTCTCACTGGCTGTCTTCTCTTTGGGGTCTGTGGGGCTCTGGCCAGTGATCAAGAGAAAGACTATGTAGCCCTGAGGGGACAGGGCAAAGGTTAGCCAGGGTCCAGAAGGTTAGACATCACAGTCCTCGACTGCCCAGCCTCCCAGGAGAGCACCCTCAGGCTGTGGGCCTTCCCCAGAGAGGCAGTTTCTCCCATGGCAACCTTCTACAGCATCTACACTGTGGGTTCTAAAGGTGATAAGGGCTGGGTGCAGTGGCTCATGCCTGTAATCCCAGCACTTTGGGAGGATTGCTTGAGTCCAGAGGTTCAAAACCAGCCTGGGCAACATACTGGGAGCTTATCTCTACCAAAAAATTAAAAATTAGCTGCACATGGTGGCACACGCCTGTGGTCCCAGGTACTCAGGAGGCTGAGGCAGGAAGATCGCTTGAGCCCAGGTGGTTGAGACTGCTGTGAACCATGATCGCACCACTGCACTCCAGCCTGGGCGAGAGACGGAGACCCTGTCTCAAAAAAAATAAAAAAAAATAAAGGTGAGAAGGGCGATCTGGAAACCTACAAGACTAGACTCGGAGCTGGGCTGGTGGTCCCTGAGCTCTGTCCTGCCGTACAGTGGGGCCGCCCTAGGTAGCGAACGTGCCCCTCATGGCGGCGGGCTGACAGACCAGTGCTTACGGGGAGACTGGCAGGGGGGCTGAAGGAAGACCTGGTGAGTGTCCCCATACACAAGACTCGGTCTTCAGAACTCGTGCTCGGAGTTCGCAAATAGGAGAGCACTGCTCTTGGAGCGTCAGGCTCGTGCCCAGCCAGGGAGTGGAGTTGGGGACTGGGTCGCTGGGGGAGGGTAACTGCCCTGGTCCGGGACCACGAGGAAAGCCAGAGTGAGGACATTCTGGGCGGAGGCGGGGCCCACTGTAGCCCCACCCCTATCTCCTCCTTTACGGCCCCGCCCAGCGAGTATCCCCGCCCCCGCCCGATCGGCGATCTATCGCACGGTCTGCGCTCTCCGCGTTCTTCCAGCGCTGTCTTTTTAGCATCACATGGGCAGGAAGGTAATGGCGGCGCTGGTTGTGTCCGGGGCAGCGGAGCAGGGCGGCCGAAAAGGCCCTGGCAGAGGTGGGTGCTGCAGCGCTGCGGCCTCCAGACCTCGCACCTCAGGGTGGGGCCCCCAAGTTAGGTACAGGACCAACCCCTTTTAACGGCGGCGGCGCCTTTCTCCGCTGTTTTTCGCCTTGGACCGCTTTCGCCCTCTCTGGATCGCGTCAGCCGGGAGCCCAGGGGTACCAGTCTTTTGCAGCTTTAGGGCGCGACCGAGAGCAGCCCTTCCTGGGAGCTTGTAATCCTCAAATCGAAAACTACAGCCCTGCCTTGGCCGGCAGACGGACGCAGGAAGATTGACGGTTAATACGGACTCGACGGGGAGGGAAGGGCTAGGCCAGTTGCAGCGGGCTTTTTCCGAGCGCGCCTTCAGGGAATGCTCTCAGGGGAGAGGCACAAGGTTTCATTCGCCAGGCATGAGCTGGGTGCCCACCGAATGAATGCCTGGCCTGCGCTGGGTGCAGGTACTAGAATCAGAGAGCTCAGTCTACTGGGGGAATGTTAATTGTAAACAGATCATAGCACGTGATAAAGGAGGAGGCTCCTACTGGCCCGTGGGACCCATTGAAGGGCTAATGTTAGCATCTCCCACGCCCCAATCACCAGTAGGGACCTGTCAGAGGAGAATCTGTGATGGGCCTAGGAATCCTAGGTTGGTTGTTAAAGGCTTTTGAAACAACAGACCAAAAACCGTAGCAGTGGTAACATTCAAATCTGGTCTCAGGGACCCAGCCTGCCAGGCTGGTTCTCCACTGGACCCTCCCCACCGCCGCCCACACAGAGGGTGAAGCCTCAAGTCTGGGCAGATCCCGCCTGTCATCGTGTGGGGTCCTAGCAGAAGTTATGGCACGCAGTTCAGTCTCAATATGTATTCGTTGAGTAAGTTAATGTCTTGTCTTTTCGTGTCCTCAGACTGCTTGGCTCCTAAAAAGATAACGGGGTTGAACTAAAAGCTTAATTGTGGGATTAGGGCACAGTGGCTCACACACTTTAGGAGGCCGAGGAGGATTGTGTGAGCCCAGGAATTCACACCAGTCTGGGCAAGATAGGGGGACCCTATCTGCACAAAAAAATAAAATTAGCTGTGCGTGTTGGCCCGTGCCTGTGGTCCTAGCTACTGGGGAGGCTGGCGTGGGAGGATTATCTTTTGAGCACAGGAGGTCGAGGCCACAGGGGACCATGATTGCGCCTCTGCACTCCACCCTGGGTGATGGAGTGAGACCCTGCCTTAAAAAATAATAAGCTGAAGGCCGGGTGCAGTGGCTCATGCCTGTAATCCCAACACTTTGGGAGGCCAAGGTGGGAGGATCATGAGGTCAGAAGTTCGAGACCAGCGTGGCCTACATGGTGAAACCCTGTCTCTACTAAAAATACAGAAATTAGCTGGGCGTGGTGGTGCATGCCTGTAGTCCCAGCTACTCAGGAGGCTGAGGCAGAATTGCATGAACCTGGGAGGTGGAAGTTGCAGTGAGCCAAGATCATGCCACTGCACTCCAGCCTGGGCGGCAGAGTGAGACTCCAACTCAGAAAAAAAAAAAAGCTGAATTGTGGAGAGTGTTAAAACCCACGCTCTGAATGAAGAGACCCTCCTCCACCCCCCAAAAAACAGGCTTTGTGTGAGCAGCATGGCTGTTTATTCACCCGGGTGCGGGTGGGTTGAGTCCAAAAAGTCAGCAGAGGCGGGGAGGGATGGGAGTTGGTTTCATAGGTTTGCGGTAGGCAGTGGAAAGTTACAGAAGTTAAAGTTTAGGGTGTTTTTTTTTGCAAGCTGGGAGGGGGTCACAGGATCTGAAGTCAAGAGGTTGATCAAGGTAGGTTTCAAAGTCCAATGGTCTTGTCAATTGAAGCCACAATAAAAAACAATAGAAGAATGTCTCAGGTTAGTTAGGTGCTGCAGGGGTTGATTGTTCTTCCATTTTTCATGATCTTCCAGCTACTTCAGGTTTCCTCATTCCGGAAGGCCCTCCAGAGGTATATGTGCTGGCCATGGGTGTGGCGCTGTCAGTCAGCCTAAAAGACCTTAAGGTGTTAGAAGTAAAATATTGATGCCGCAAAAGAAATGACACTCGAAGATAAATCTTCTCAGCAAGGCAGTTTACTTCTGTAGAAGGGTGTGGCTAACGGATGGAGCAATGGTGGCCGCTTGCTTGGACAAGAGGGGAAGTGGTACTTGTGCCTGATGGGGTCGTCCCTACTGCTGTGTAGTTCCTCTATTGGCTAGGGTTAGACTTCGCAAGCTAGACTAATCCCAATTGGCTATTTTAAAGAGAGCAGGGGCCTGAGCTGGAGTGGCAGTGTGGGTGTTTTGGCGGGAAGGATGGTTACAGGCAGATTAGAGCAGGTAGCCAGGGGTGACCTAGGTCAAAGAAGGTGACCAGAGCAGGTGACAGGTATGAGTCAGGATGGAGCCGGGACCAGGGGAACAGATATGGACTACTGATGAGAACATGTGGAGAAGCTTATAATTAAAGAATAAGAGAGCTGAACATACTGACATACTGATTCTTTGAAGGGAAACTTGGGGGCCGGGCGGGGTGGCTCACGCCTGTAATCCCAGCACTTTGGGAGGCCGAGGCGGGTGGATCACGAGGTCAAGAGATCGAAACCATCCTTGTCAACATGGTGAAACCCTGTCTCTAAAAAAATACAAAAAATTAGCTGGGCGTGGTGGCGCGTGCCTGTAATCCCAGCTACTCAGGAGGCTGAGGCAGGAGAATTGCCTGAACCCAGGAGGCGGAGGTTGCGGTGAGTCCAGATCGCGCCATTGCACTGCAGTCTGGGTAACAAGAGAGAAACTCCGTCGCAAAAAAAAAAAAGGGAAACTTGTGGTTTAGTATAACAATCCCCCATCTTGAATTTTTACAGTTTTATGTTTTTCTCTTCAAACTTCCTTAACATGTCTTGGCTTAGTTGTGTTCTTCTAAAAGAATTAATCTGTCTGAATAAGGGGGAGGAGGGGTTGTGGATTTTTTTT